GCACTTTCGGCGGCTTAAACGCTGCGGCGAATGCGGTCGCCGCGGCGTGAGGGCAACCGGAAGTCGCCGGCCGTGCGGACGGCCGGCGCTTCCAGGTGCGCCCTCAGGAAGAGGAAGAGCCGCCGAACGTGCGGCGGCTCCTCCTCTTCCGGGCCTCGGAGACGGCGCAATTAGCCGTCTGCCGAGGCCCTTAGTAAGGAGAAGCAGGCTTCTGTTGCAAGACTGAGGAATGTGTAGTCCTCCAGGTATCAGGGGTAGGCAACCTTTTTGAGCTGGGGGCCAGGTTGCTCTCCCTCAGACAATTGGGGGGCCAAAGCACCATAAATAAATAAATAAATAAAAATTAAAAATAAAATAAAAAATATGCATGCACACTCTCTCAGCCCCAGAAAAGCCATGGCAAAACCCCTGTGGAGATTTGCCAAGAAAACCCCAAGAACAAGTAATAACAACAATAATCAATATCATCATGGCGGGCAGCGGCAGCGGCAGGACCAACCTGGGGCCAGTCCAAAGGTCTCGGGGGGGGCGCATCCGGCTCCCGGGCCTTAGGTTGCCTACCCCTACACTAGACTCTTATTGGTCCTAACTCACATAAACAATGATGAGAGGTGACTGGTGCTACAGTTAAATATCATTTTGAGGGCAATACATTTTCCAGAAGCGTTGTTTGGATGTGAGCATCCTGGTGGCATTCAGCATGAATGGGCTATAACTATATCTGAACTATAACTCCCAGCATCCTCTGAACAACATCTGAAGGCCTTTGCAGACTGCCAGAAATAGTGCAAATTGAGGGTTAGTGCTGGGGAGTCATGAGAATTGGTTTTTTTTTTCTGAGACATTGAGCCTTCTCTGTCAGAGAACTCTGGTGCCACAATAAAATACAGTTCCTATGATTCCCTAACCCTAACCCTAACCCTAAAAGTGGACTCAATTTGCACTATTTCTGGCAGTCTGCAAAGGCCCTAAGAGATTCTGGGAGTGGTCATTTCCAAACTCAGGGTTTTCCTCACTAGATCAGAGTCTCCAAAATGGAAATAAATAAATAATGTCATGCACTTATAATATTATAGAATGTGCACTACACGTTCACACATATATAAAATGACATTCTGTGCAAACAAGACTACCAAATAAGAACACAACCACCACCCCTCCTACATACTTAGACAGCATGGTCAAATTTCTAGTCTAACAGGCCCCTGGGAATGTTCTAAGCTTATTCTCCCCACTATGATGGAGAACTCTAATTTTAAAAGATCTTGAACTGACTGCTATTACATAATTTCTTCCATTTCCATCAAGTCCTCTTGCTTTATTAAGGACCTTAGATGACCCACTTCCAGCAGCATTTGGTCTCTATAAAGTGATGCTTCATTGCTTTACACAAGTTCTCAAGCACAAAAACTGCTGGGGAGGGACTGTGGCTCAGTAATAATGCACATGCTGGGCACACCGAAGGTTTCTAGTTCAATTCTTAACCTCTCCAGTTCAAATAACAAATAGCATTTCATCAGAGCTTTAAAGAGATACATTTTTTAGGACTGCAATTCCCCAAATCTCTCCAACGATGGCTGGGAGATTCTAGGAAAAGTAGTCCAGGAAGGGTAACTTTTCCAAGCTTTGCATTCTATGTGAAAAGTCTCTGCCTGCAATGTGAGAGAAGAGTTCTTCAATCCAAGAGATCTGTCTCTGTTCTAAACCAGTATCTGTCAACAGTGACAGACTGGAAAAGGATTAACAAACTGAAACTAAATCCAGACAAGACAGAGGTTCTTTTTGTCAATCAAAACCAGAGCAGGGCATAGAGATTCAGCCTGTTATACTCCCTCTGAAGACATAGGTTCATAGTTTGGGTGTACTCCAAGATTCAGCCCTGGCACTGGGCACTTCTGCAGTGCCCAGAAGTCCATTTGCACAGTTAAAGCTAGTGCCTCAACTGCACGTGTTCCTGGGGACATCTAACTTGGCCACATGACACATGCCTTAGTTACATCCCAATTGGACTACTGTAATGCACAAAATGTGGGGCTCTTTGAAGAAACTTCAACTGGTCCAAAGAGCTGTAGTCAGATTGTGCTGGAAGATTTTTGCATTCTCTTTCCTCCTCCTTATATAGATAGGGATTTCCTGCATGCAAACTCCTCCCTCTCATTCAAACTAACCATGTGATTTAGGTCACTCCCCCTTTGGGATTAACAGACTCTGTCTACAAGATTTTCAACTGAACTGTTGGTCTTCCATCTTCCTCCTCCCTCAACTTCCTTTCGAAAGATGGTGAGAGAAAGATTTCTTTTTACCTGAACTATTCATTAGCTAGATTAGGATATAGTGTCTATGTAAATATAGATTAAAGTCATTGGTAAACTTTTGTTTTAAATTACATGTTACTTTTTATATGTTTTAATTGATATATGATTTAATATTATTTTAGGGGTGGGAGGGTGGGTTTTGGGGTTTTAGACTGTATTTTAGGATGATTTATATTGTATGGAATTTTTAACTGATATAAGCCACCCCGATTGGTTGACAGAGGGGTGGGGTATAAATAAATAAACTATTATTATTATTATTATTATTATTATTATTATTATTATTATTATTATTTGTGTTGTTTCTGGAGTCAGTCTCAGTTCTTAGGGAAGCATAGTTAGACAAAGGCACATTTCTGCTAATCTGCTTATTTAAAGCTAGATCCTAACAGGCTTGGCTTTGACATTTTTGATATTTCAATATTTTTGTTTCCTTACCAAAGGCTGAAGCCTTAGGAAACTTAAATTATCCTACATTTTTATAACAGGTGATGGTTACAGGTAGCACAAATGCCCTTGCTTCAACAGTTCCACTGGCTACTGGTTTGTCTCTAGGTGCAATTCAAAGTGCTGGATATCACATATAAAGCCCCATATGGCCCAGGTCCAAGCTATTTGAAGAACCTTATCTTCCCATACAAACCTTCCTGAGCTTTAAGATCTGTGGGGAGGGACTTCTCTCTATCCCTTTGCAGGCATGGTTAGTGGGAGCACAGGAGAAGTCCACACTTTGGGACTCCTTTCCTAGAGAAGCTAGGATGGCTCCATCTTTATTATCTTTTCAGCAACAGATTAAGATCTTTCTTTTCCAGCAAGTCAAACTCATTTTAATAAAGAAATGGCATTTTATGGTGCTGCACTGTTTTTAATCTTTGTTTTAAAGTAAAATTTTAAATGGTTTTAATTCTGTTCTCCTTTAATACTATTTTAATATTAATTTTGTATGGGTTGTTTGTTTTTTACTATATGTATGTGTCTTTATTTTAATTTTCTGCCTTTTTGTAAGCTGGAAGAAAGGCAAGAGATAAAGTGATAGATGGATGAATGGACAGTCAATGCCAATCAGAATAAATCATCCATTGATTGGTTATTCCAAGTTGCAGAGATTCAAATGCATTTTCATGCCCATCATCCCAAGTAACCATTCTGTCTGAAGTGAGGAAGTTATAGTCCAACACGTCTAGAGGACACCAGTTTTAAGAAGGCTGAAGCAGGCAATATTAGGCTCAACACAGTGTGACCTCCTGGAAGATAGCTGCTTATGCTCCAGTGAGCCAGAACAGCTCTACCTCCTAGGTGATGGATCTACCATGAGGATACTGGAGGCCGCATCCCTAGGTTAGGTCATTTACTCATCTGCTCTGGTCTTGCTATTTTTCATATATACCCAGGAGTCAAATGTTGTGTCATCCACACCACAACATATAAATACCCAGAGCCCAGGAAAGACACTTTTTTAGGATTACAAGTCCTGGAACCCATCCCTCACCAGATTTTGGAACAATTGCTAGCCTCAAAACACCCTAAACCAAGGGTAGGCAACCTTTCCCCTTCAAGGGCCGAGGGACTTCAACTCCCAGAATCCCAGGAGCTAATGGCCAACATGAGACTATTGGCCAACATGGCTGAGGCTTCTGGGAGCTGAAGTCCCTCGGCCCTTAAAGGGGAAAGGTTGCCTACCCCTGCCCTAAACCATCTGCCAGTTCCTACAGATCAGGCCAACAAAATGGATCATGCGCAATACCTGCACCCAGTCAAGAGCAATAGTTATTATCCCAGAATATGCTATGAGCTCTTGCCCTTGTGGGCTTCCCACAAGAAGATGTCTGGTGCACAATGGTGGAAAAGATGCTGCTGGACAAGATGGCCTTTGATTTGATACACCAAGGATCTCCTTGGGACTAGGCCAAAACATTTTGCAGCCTGAGATAAAAAAGATGGTTCCATTTCACTTACAGTCTTCAACACTGTTGAATTTTTTAAAAATCAGCAGGTTAGTTTAGGACAGGGGTAGGCAAAGTGTGTTCAATGGGAACAGGACAATCAGTCATATACA